CCTAGTAGCGATGCCCTTTGTAACTAGTAGCTTCTTGCTCCTAGTAGGAAGGCCAGGAGCCCCTAGTAGCGTCCTTCCTCCTAGTAGTAAGGCCAGGAGCTACTAGTAGCATCCTTGCTTCTAGTAGCGATGCCCTTTGTAACTAGTGGCTTCTTGCTCCTAGTAGTAAGGCCAGGAGGCCCTAGTAGCGTCCTTCCTCCTAGTAGTAAGGCCAGGAGCTACTAGTAGCATCCTCGCTCCTAGTAGCGATGCCCTTTGTTACTAGTAGCTTCTTGCTCCTAGTAGTAAGATGTAGTAAGGCCAGGAGCCCCTAGTAGCGTCCTTCCTCCTAGTAGTAAGGCGGCCAGGAGCTACTAGTAGCATCCTTGCTCCTAGTAGCAATGCCCTTTGTTACTAGTAGCTTCTTGCTCCTAGTAGTAAGGCCAGGAGCTACTAGTAGCATCCTCGCTCCTAGTAGCGATGCCCTTTGTAACTAGTAGCTTCTTGCTCCTAGTAGTATGGCCAGGAGGCCCTAGTAGCGTCCTTGTTGCTAGTAGTAAGGCCAGGAGCTACTAGTAGCATCGTTGCTCCTAGTAGCGATGCCCTTTGTTACTAGTAGCCTCTCTGAAGACATGGCTCTGGGTCATAGCTCTCTGAAGATCAAGCTCGCTACATGGTGGAGTGGTCGGGCTGCAGTTGTTTTTGTTTAACCAATCCCCACATCTCTTGAACACTTGGGAATCTGGTGCCTCCAAAGAGTAGAAGAACCTCGGAGAAACTTGGAGATGGTTGGACAGTCCTTCCAAATGATGCCATCTCCGAGTTCCCAAATTTGCAAAAAAAAAACAAGTTGAGTCATATACTCATATACAGAGTCATGCATATGATTCTGTTGCGCTCGAACCTGAAGTATTGAAAGCACATCCCTGTCATTTTCTCTACTCAAGTGGTACTTTGGCTGGCAGGAGTCCTCTGTTGATTCTTTTGATGCCCATTCTCCACCGATGCTGCTGTTCTCTGGCAGCTGTCACGTGGTCAAACCGATTCGCTGCCGCGAACCCGATCGACACGACCGCGCCTGACTCCACTTTGGCTAAGGTTTCAGCCTCACACAGCGGGCGATACCAGGGCTCCTTCCATTGAAAGGTTGCGATACCAAGTCCTGATGGCAAGAAAGAATGGAACACATTAAAAGACATAAGGTTTCTATTCTTCTACAATGGGTTCATGTGCAGCTTCCATCATTGGCTGACGGAGAACTGGCCAGCATTTCCACAAACTGTTGGTCTCGGCAATGAGGGGGTCGCAGCGTTGCTGAGGATTAACGACCTTAACTTTATAATATTGCGGCTAATTACAGCAAACCCTGCACAAAACTACCCGACCAAGAAGCCTCTCCAAAACTACACGCTTCCTCAACACCTACTGCCCTGAAGATGACGACTCTTTGATGCTAGCTGCACCATCGAGAATCACAAGTCTTGGGCACTACGTACAATCATGAGTCAAGATGGTCGTATCTGCCATAATGTACATGGATTTAAAACTATATATATATATATCCTTGATTACGAAGAAGCCAACGGCCTGACAATAAGACCCTGAGCACCCTCACTGACTTGGATGCCACAGGGAAGAGACAGATGGGCCCCTTCACCGCTGTAACTCCTAGAGACAGACGGGCTATACACAGTTATATGTACCGCTACTTTCTCCTCCGAGCGGTCGATCTATATTTCAACCGCCAGTCCAACCGAAGCGGTCCAGGCAAACCACGTCTCCAAGGGACCACCTCTGACAGGCTCCCATCGAGGATCACATCCGCCTCGTCCAGTCGTCCTAAACCCGTGGCGGATGGCGGAGTCGAGACCGAGTGGCATTTGGAATGCCAAAGGGGTTCGGTGACCTGGTGAATGAGTGAGGTTTTCTTATTACCGTTTGATTGCCTTCTGCAAAGACTACATATTTTATGTAGTTTAATATTATCTAATCATTTCATATCTATGCATTAAGAATGCATGAAGAACAATAGTTAGGCCATCTTGTGCGTACCAAATCAGTGTTTGGGCAAGCGGCAAGTCCATGATCATGCCTAGGTAGGTACGCCTGCCAGCAAAGTATTGCCACCTACTCTTTAACTTCCATGTCACGCAGTTTACACATCGGCACTACCCAGCAGCAAACCAGTAAAGTTCATGAACTTTCAACATCTGCGAATGGAGTGTTGCAACCTCGACGCGCTTCGACACACTCTGCGGGGGGTCAGCATGACTCCAGAAGTTGGATTCCAAGAACAGGGATCTTTTTGGTGGACCTAGTGACCTAGTAATGTAGACTCTTGACTAATAAACCCCCGTACGAAAAGGTTCATACATTTCTTCAAAAGTGGCTCAACCAGAAAGTCCTCCCAAAAGTGCATGATGGCTTCACCCATGGCTTCACCCATTCAAGCATGGCTTCACTCGAGCATGCGCTTCCCTGTCACGTGTCCCGTCGGGCATGGCGTCCTGTGAAGGTCACTCTCTTTCGACTCATCCCGTGGCGGTTGGGCTCGGCCTCAAGGCGCGTGGTTGGAGGCGCCAGGTGGGAGGAACATCGCTCCATTTGGAGCGGGGAAGGCCACACTTCTTTTCTATCTAGAAGGCCGACTCAATTCGGGGTATAAGATCTTCAAATTAATTCAAACTATGCAGTGAGTATGGTGGACGCAATCGAGTAGCAAATCCAACAATGTCATGTCTTGCCATGGACTTGTGCTGGGTAATTACAATTTGATACGAAGAAAAGGGAACCCCTTCTGAGTAATTCTACCAACCAGAAGCATGGCAAAGGACTTGCATGTATTCTGTATTTTCAACAGCACAGCTTTCTGCCCCCGCTCACGACCGAAGGGCCCCTGATGTGCTGTGTGCTTTTCTTTCCTTAACGAACCGATTCGTGGATTTGAACACGTTCATCTAGTAACAAAGCTAGTAACAAGAAGCTACTAGTAGGTCTTTGAAGGTACTAGGTGCTCCTGGCCTTACTACTAGGAGCAAGAAGCTACTACCTCCAAGGGCATCGATGGCCCCACCTGTCTCAGTCATTCTCTCGCACCGTTCTGGTCGAAGGCTGGCGGTCGGACGGGTCGGTTTGAGGGCCAAAGCAGCCCTGGTGGAGCCTGGTAGGTTGAGCTCCCTGATAGATCCTGGTAGTTTACATTTAATTCATGTCTGGTCAACCAAGGTCACCTGGTTTTGACCCCGACCCGCCCTTTCTTCCCCTTTGAGTGGGGTGTGTCTCTCTCTCTCTCTCTCGCTCGCTCGCGGCAACTTTTGTTGGGTCCCAATCAACAGGTCTGACTTGGTCTCACGATCAGACCCGCATCTTCCGTCTGATGTCGACAGTTCGGGTGGCTTTTCAGTCAGCCGCCCACACGACTTTACGCAATCTGAAGACATCTGACGCAAGAAACCCAGAAGCTCTGTCAGGCCAGAAACGTCGGCTGGAGATGCTTCAAAAGTGCGAGGAGGTGCCGTTTTGACCGAACAATCCCATTGACATCATGGGCACCTGGATACATACACTCTACCGGAAGCAATCCGTGGACTATACTGTGGACTATATAATATATCTACTGTGGGCTGTTCTGTTGGTCTAAGGTCTATTTGTTTTGTAAACATAGGATCTTTCTCGTGGCATGTAAGACAATGACATTACGAGAAACAGCAATCGCAAGCACCAAACGCTTGGGCCCATCTTGCCCGTCTTGCACCGGAAAAGAAAAGACCCGACGCCTTGGTGACCAACTCTTTGGCCAGTTTAATTACCCAATGTTTCCTCCAAAGAGATCTGGATGCCAAACATCATCTTTACCAGCAATGGGACCTGAAACGAAAAGAGATCTGGACTTCCTTGAGGGCAAACCTCGAATACGCATGTTCCAGCTGCAAACATGTCAAGGGCGACATGTTTGACCAGTCATACAAGTACCGGACTTTTCTCAGTTTCCCATGTCTTCTGTCTTCAGTCTCTTTTACTAAGATTTCTCCAGCAACCCGCCTCGCACCCAGCAGTAAAAACCGAAAATCCCAAAAATAATTGCATCGAATTGTTGGCACGAGTCGCACGACGGCAGGGGAGGGACACCGAAGAAAAGATCACCCGTCTGGGCACCTGGAATTCAGTTTAGAAGAAACGCCCTGAGTATCCTAGGTAGGGTGCCTAACTATATCTCATGCACTTCTTCATGTCAAATGCTTAAAGTAGCTTGGTCCAGCTCTTGGAAATCCCAATCGATCCGTGTGCCACAACGACGGACTCAAGTCATGGAGACGGACTTCGTCGGACTCAACGACGGACGGACTCGCGTCTACGAAGTCTTTGAAAGAACTCCAACAGCTATCGGAACGACTCGATCAAAATTGACTCAGATTGAGCTCAATAGGATTCGTTGTGGATGGTTTAACAGGATTCATTTAGAGGAAAGGGCCACGGCGTCGCCATTTTAAACAAAATCCGCTGAGCTATCCACCCTGGGCCCGATAACTGCCACAAGCTGCTGTCTTTGGGACCTACCAGGAGTATCCTGTCGAGATGTCAGATGGAGGATACCGGATACCACATATTTTTTTCTTTTGGGGGGGGTCTATCCCATTACCTTCATGTTGACATTCAGCTGGGCCTTCAGCTGATCCTGCAGCTGCAGCTGGAGGTGATTTCCAACAGTTTGCAATACAAATGATCAACATGTGCAGGAACGGATGATGATGGAATGATGGTTGCAGGCCCTTTCTCTAAAATAGTGAGAATACCGACTGTTACAGGTACTGTTACGGACAGACCAACGTATGGACTTGAGGAACCGACAGTCCAAATAATATGTCCAAACCATGGATGGCTCAGACACCACAAACAGAATATTTCGTCGAACCTTGGTACATGTTTTTGATCATCCAACATGCCATACCACCCACCATGGAGGCCAAAAGGACAAGAAACACCATGGAGGCCATCCACTATTTTGATAACCTTGTCTTTTTGTTCCTGCCGCTTTCCCCTGCAAGGCTGCGACCTCCAGGGTGCTCCTTCTTTCTGACAATCATGAACCTTGACCCATGTCTTCCACCTCGGTCCCGGGCCCTTCACAGCCCAATGCCGTGAAAGCTCCGCTCCCTGCTGTGCTGGACGTGCCAGGCCAGGCACCGAAGAAGCGGTACGGCCTTTGACCCAAGTATCATTGCCACCCCGCAAGCAAACGCATCAGATCTGGTGGCTCCAGTGTGCGTGCGCACCGATAAGAGTGTGCGTGGTGTTTCTGAATAGAGATTGATTGAGGGATTGCGGAACCAAATGGACAAACACAAATCATGATCATGAAGCGACTATGTGGAGGTCAAATGAGGTCAAGCTATTGTACGGGCCGAGATGTCAGAGCAAGCCTCTGAACACTCTCCGAGGAACCATCACTGGCTTTGAAAGGAAGTTGCAAGGACCTGAACATGAATCCCTGCCATGCTCTAACTCTTTGTGCATCCCTTCTGAAATGCCAATCACCCAATCACCTTCTCAATGCGGAGCCCATCGATCAATGCGATTTCACCCTTGTGGAGAGGTCCTGTATCCGAAGGACGGCATATGACCACGCAGCAACGACCAGACTTCTGGCTGGGACAGCACCACGCTGTATAAAGAAACGCATTTGGAAGCAAAACATCAGCCAAGGGCCTACAATGTCAACATACCTAACCTCATAACCTTATATAACCATGTGACCTTCTTATAAGCCTTATTATACCTGTCTCAAAGGTTTTCCCCAGGTTGGCGGCTCTGATTTCGACTTGCTTCGACTCTCGACTCAGTCAACACTCTACAGCTCACAACCCAGCAAGTACCCAGTCACCAACCTGTGTGCGGAGGACATGCTCGCCCCAAACGGCCCAGGATACTCTCCGACTCCGGAACATGGAAGTCGGTAGCAAATTGAATGGACAATAGATGACTGCAAAGTGGGAGCAGTGGCACTGCCTTTCACCATCTGTATATACCTGTCCAAATATATGTATATATAGAGTCACTCCAAACACCCCACTAAAACAGGGACCCACTGGTTTTTGATGAAGTTTGCCGATCAGCACGGGAAACAGCCGTGAACAACTGAAGTGTCTTTTGAAACGCAAATACCTTGGGGACTGCCCCAAGAGATGCAAAACGATTTCGTTTGTTCATGTTCGCTCTGTGTCTTTATGCCGTCTGTAATCATAAGTGTTGAGGAAAGTTTTTTTGGGGTTCTAAATCGAACAACATCGAACAACATGAGCTATTCACAAACAAATGAATGCTGAGGACACTGCAGCTCTATGCTTGCTGCCTGCTCGCCTCTCATCAGGTCGACTCGCCGTCCTTCCGAAGTGGGCACGCTGTTTCAGCGCGTGCCATCTGCATGAGAGGCGTGCTGCATCTCAACATGCGCACTCACGAAGGTGAATCCTTCAGAGCAATGACCCAGATAGAAAGAACCGATGAGTCCATGCACTCTTCGGGCGGATCCAATGTGGATCTGATGAAAGGATGGATGGACTTTGGGTTCTCCATTTAAAGTGTTTCGTCCTGGATATCTATAAGAAAACCTCCCCCAACGACAATATGTCAATGTCCGAAGCCCCTAAGTGCAGCTTGCTGTTGACTTAAAACTACCCCTCTATATAGACACTACCAAAAAGCAAACCAATAAGTTTTCTGTTTTGATGCGGTACCTGCTAAATCACCGCCAATCCTGCCCCTAGCGTCGCGCGAGACGTCGCAAAACAAAAAACGCATTACATATCTGTTCCCCACTGGCATGGAGCCACACCGTCCACACTGTCCAGTGAGGCCCTTATTTGTCACTCAAATGGAAAAATATCAAAGACTGAATCAATATTTGAATCAGGATAATCAAGGTCCTCAGGTCCTTGGCAAGGGAAAATGAAGATCTTCAACTTGGATGTGTTTTTTCTTCAATTCTTGACATGAGTTTATTACAAACAGGATTTTGTGTAAACATGACCAGGCAACTTGTTGGCTTTGAAGCTCCTGTGGAGAGTTTTGAAGGGGGTTGGGGATCTGCATGGATGTGTGGTACATACAGAACAGATTGCTCTTTAGATCTCTTTGGTGGTGTGGTTAGCGTTATTTGCTGTGACATGCTGAGGTCACTAGATCCCAAATCCCAACGATCTCTCAGATCCTTCGATAGTAAAAAAGGTGTTGCAATCTGCAATCCATCAATCAAATTTGTTAAAGTTGGATCCCATTTGATGGTCCATGTCAGCTCTTGACAGGATACCAATGTCAGATCGTACGTACTTCCACGCACTGCCCAGCTGCTCTTGAAGGATTCCTCTCACTGCAGATCTCTGTCCTCGAAAAATACCGGCTTGAGCAGCCGGTGATCTGACCGACATGGTCCTGAACGGTCTGGAAAATGCCAGGCAAACGATGCCTTCGAATCTCGGTCTCTTGATGTGTACTTCGTCCTCTGCTCTTCAAATGTGGGCGGACTCCAGACTCATCGTCGCTGGCGCGCTGGCGCAGAG